CCCTCCCCCTAGCATCTTGGGGCAGCATGGCACACACTTGTGGTGCAGATTCTCCATGGTGCTGACCAACATCAGCTCACTGAAGGCGGAGAACATACCAGGGGCTCAGCACTCTTGAAAATCAGGTCCTAAGTCAAAGAGGGCCTGAGCCGGAATCCTTCCAGGCCAGCTCTCTCCCAGTCATCAAGTAGCCATGTCTACACAAGAAGGCTGCTTTGGTTTAAATTAAGGTGAAATTTCTAACCTGGTGAAGGTTAAACTGGTGCAAAAAGCTGTGTGGCTCCCCTTTACTCTGGTTTTAAGTCATGCTAAAATGAAATACACCTAACTATAAGCCTGGTCTGAACTGAAATAAAAAAGGTCTACACAGCCCTTCACACCAGTATAGCTAAGCCAGTTTAAAAAAAAACTGCACCCTAACTTAAAACAGGTGCAGCTTTCTTTAGAACAGGTACACAGTTTCAGGACCTGTTGTAATTTGAGTCGGCTGCCAATTAACTTGAGTCCACCCTGTTAAATTATTGACAGAGTTGTAAATAATAAACTCAAAGTCCACTGTCAGCCAATTCAACTTGCAGTGTGTCCAAAAACTCTAGCCTGGATAACACCAGAGAGCTGTAACCAGTGTGGAACTACACCTGCTGGGAATACAGGTTAAAAGAGCCTACACCAGGTAAGAGGAAATAAGCCTTCTTAGTTTCTAGAGGGCAGTGTTGAGTACAAAACCTCTCAGTGTACTGGGACTTTATTTGGCCAATAAGAGCAGTGATCCATGCACACTTACTGCCCCCTCAGGTGAGATGGGGCAGTCCCATCAGCTCACCACAACCCTCTGCAACATGTTAGGGCACAATGCAGGGTGTTCTCAATCTAGTTGGTCTTCCTCTGCAGTTTCAGCTTGGCAGAATGTGGTGACAAGAGTTAGAATTTGGCCAGGCCATGAGAACACTAACAGTGTTTTCATACCAAGAGAAAGTGTCCTTACCACAAGTTAAAATCCTAATGACCACAGACATGGCCGTTGTAGTTTTAACTCAATCTGTTGACCAAAGACTAGAGGGGAGTCTGGTGTTTAAGTCTACCTGCTACCTTACATTAGAACTACAACTGCCTTAACCAGGAAGTTAAGGCAACTAGAATTAGCCAGCCCAGGCGAACACGTTTTGCAGGGTGACATACCCTAAATTACTACTGGTGCTCAGCAGAGCACTCGGGGGTAATGACCCAGCTTCACTGTTCACCCTGGAGGTCAGCAGTACCAAGTTCTGTCCCACCCCTGAAGAGTGAACCAACCCAACGTCACTTCCCCTGATCCTACATGATCCCAACCTAAGATTGTATTGCTGCATGCAACAGATGATAAGCAGTAGCATAGACTACAGCTGACAGATGCTATTAGAGCTACATGCAATGAGGATGTCAGAACATATACACTATGACAAAGTTCCTCCTCTATCTTGGTGGGTCCTGCACTTATTGATGTATTTTCTTGCCTCAGAGATTCACCATGTGGGTTGGGGGAACAGCCCAGAGACCTTCCCCTCTGGTAGAACCCACAGTCCAGGTCAATTGGGTGGTTTGGGGGGAACCCAGTCCCACCCTCGGCTCCAGGTTCCAGCCCAGGGCCCTGTGGACTGCAGCTGTCTCGAGTGCCTCCTGGAACAGCTGCATGACAGCTACAATTCCCTGGGCTACTTCCCCATGGCCTCCTCCCAACACCTTCTTCTTGATGTCTGTTAATGCTTATACTCCTCAGTCCTCCAGCAGCACATCCTCTCACTTCCCAGCTCCTTACACCCACACCACAAACTGAAGTGAGCTCCTTTTTAAACCCAGGTGCCCTGATTAGCCTGCCTTAATTGATTCTAGCAGCTTCTTGATTGGCTGCAGGTGTTCTAATCAGCCTGTCTGCTTTAATTGTTTCCAGAAAGTTCCTGATTGTTCTGGAACCTTCCCTGTTACCTTACCCAGGGAAAAGAGACCTACTTAATTTGGGGCGAATATATCTGCCTTCTATCACTCTCCTGTAGCCATCTGGCCTGACCCTGTCACAACACCTAACCGCTTGGTGCAGGATAAAATGGGGGGCTTCTCCATGGTAGCAATAGCCTAAGCCACTGGTAACAAGTGTTTAGATGCTGAACTGCCTCACAAGAGCAGCAAAGATATTTGGGGAGGTCATCTGGAGCAGTTCCCTTTATGCTGAAAGCACTCAGGCACCAAGAGAATCCAGAGCACATGCCAGGGATGGAGGATTAAAAACCCAAGCTAACAAGCATGCAACTTTCTTGTGAGTTTGTTATGGGAAAATGTTCCTTGCAACAGGTAGTTTTCTAGCTGTCTTTAAAGACAGACTATTAGCACACTCACTAAATTAGATTCTAGAGAGTGCAGTGGGATTTGCTGAGAGCTAGGAGCAGGTGTTTGAGGAGACTGGTAAGACAGGACACAGTCCTGAAATGAATGAATGAAGAGTTAACTCTAAATTTCCTAGTGGCTAGGTCTAACAGCCAGACATTGGCAGATTAGCAGCCCTAGGCTGGCTCAGGCCTCATTGGTATGTTGGTTAATCCAGCTCTGACTACATGGTTTGTCAGATACCAGTCCAACAGCCAAGGACTGTGGGATCCCTTCCCTACTTCCTTAGTGTAAACATTACCCCATCAAACACCAGGTCAGCATGCGGCAGCACATGACCCTCTAGAATGCATGGCATTCCACTGAAGGAGATTCATGCTAAGAATTTCTTGTAGGGACCAGGAAGCCCTTTGCTCCCTGGAGACTCAGACTGCACAGAGCTGTGACTAGTCCAAGTCAGCCAGGCAAGAGGCCCTCACAGCCACCAGCAGGCTCACTAGAGCCTTTCGCCTGGCAAGGGAAAGGGGTGTCTCAGCAGAGCTCCTACACAAACGAGCCGTTCCTGGCCCCTCAGAACGCTTTCCACTCAATGAGCTGGGGAGGGCTAGCTTTGCTCCCTGCCTGCACCACTCACCTTCCCCACAGCTGTACATCTTGTCCTCGTACGCGGTGCCCGTGTATTCCAGCAGCAGTCGGATGGAGTGGGCAAGCTGCAGGGAGAAGACCAGGGCAACGTGAGAGCCTGCGTTAGAGCAGGGGGATTCCGACCTTGGGCTACAGGAGTCAAGTTAGCCATCAGCTTTACCCAGAAGAGCCACAAGGGTGTGAACTCATCATTTCATTTACTATGGCACTATATATTCATATTTAAACAGTATGGCAGGAAATATCTACAGCTGATATGATTCTCACAGCAAAATGACAGTGCAAGTATTAATTCAGCAACTACAATTGGCTAGCATAAGCATAGCATAAGCATCCTGATTGGTTAATAATTAAATCAGTATTTTAATTATGTGCTGCAAGAGCCACAGGAGACACGATAGAGAGTCTTCCTGGTCTAATGTAATTCTTCAGCCTCAAGGGAGTTCACTGAACAAACTTCATCGTCCCTCCTCCCCCACGCCCACCCCAAAAGCATCCTGGAAATTCAACCCCAAGAGATTCCTTTGATGAAGGTCGTGGTTTCAGGAGCCGGGTCACTGTCGTTGCAGCAATGAAAGGGAGCAGTGACTTCTCCTCTTTCACCCATCAGTCCCCTACCTGGTGACAGTCACTACAACACTCGTCCTCAAGTGCTTAGACATCTTAGCCCATACAAAAGGCAGGTCAGTCTCCTTTGCCCCACCACTTCCATCACACACATCATCTTTGCAGGTAGGGAAACTGAGGCACAGATTAAGATCTAGTTTCTAAAGAATGGTTTCTAACTTTGGGTGCCCAATGGGTATCACCTGAAGACCAGGCCCCAGCCAAATCAAGTACTCAAACAATGGAAATAACCCTGCATGAGGCCAACAGTCCTGCCTGTGGACATATAGTCAGTGAGAGGAGCTGGATTAGAACTCACCACCACCAGAGCAGCACTCTGCCCCCAGAGGCAGGCAACTCCAGACTCACGTCAGCTCCCCCAAAACCGCTATGAGCTCCCCACCAAGGCAGGCTCGAACAAGTGCAGGCAGAGCAGTTTGGTGCCCAGTGCCAGCCAAACCTCAAAACCTACCACCCCCAGCTGCACACAGGGCTTGCAAGTGTAACCGTTTTGCAATCGAGCCCTTCCCACATGGATACCGTGCAAGGCACGAGGGCTACAGTGGGCAGCACCATGTGCATGGGAGCAGGCGATGGCACGCTCCGGTGTAAGGCCATTTCTGCTTTCCAGTGGCTTGGGACAGTTTGGGACCATCCCTGTTCTGCATTTTCCCCTTGGAGTGGGAAGGGAAATAGATAATGGAGTGAGATTCCTCCCACACCTCCAATCTTGAGTCAGGGGCTTTGGCCCTCTACCTGCCCATGGCAACGCGAGGAGCCAGTGGGGTGCGCTGGGGCCAAATCGCTCGCTGCTGCCGGCATCAGGCTCCCCACTAACCCCCCAGGCTGCCCTGGACCCTATGTCCCCCTGAAGCATGGGGGCCTCCCCAAAGCACGGTAAGCCCAAACATTGGTGGAGCCAGGCCCACGTTCCTAAATATTGATGGAGCACGGGCACCATGGGCCCATGTAACTCACCACCTACGAACACAGGCCACTTCCCCAATGCCTGTCCCATAGCCCCAGAGCCGCCTACAGATCCCTAGAGACCCCCTGGGCCAAAGCACAGGGGCACCCTTATTTTGTTTTTCTGGGTGCTCTTCTACAGAGACTCTTGCAACAGCAGAGAGCTCTGTTGAAAACAATGCAGGAAAGCAGCAGGGGCCACATGCTCCTTTTGCTGCAAGGAGGGGCAGGTGGGCTGTATGGCATATTTAACAAGCAGGTTCCATCAATAGGGCTTAACCAAATTCATGGTCCATTTTGATCAATTTCACAGTCCTAGGATTTTTTAAAATTGCAAATTTAATTATTTCAACTATTTAAATCTGAAGTGTCAGCATGCTGTAATTGTAGGGGTCCTGACCCAACAAGAAGTTGTGTGTGGGGGGGGGGAAGTTAGAAGGTTATTGTATGTGTGGGGGGGGGGGAGTTGTGGTACTTCTTCAGAGCCAGTCAGCAGCACAGAAGTAAGGCTGGCACAGTATGGTCTTGCCACCCTTACTTCTGCACTGCTGCTGGCGGGGAGCTGCCTTCAGAGCTGGTTGCCCGGCCACCAGCCACCACTTGCCAGCTGCCCACCTCTGAAGGCAGCACAGAAGTAAGGGTGGCAGTATCACAAACCCCTAAAGCTACCTTGTGACACCCTGCAGCCTCCTTTTGAGTCAGGGCCCCCCATTTGAGGAACGCTAGTGTCCCCCGTGAAATCAGTAGAGGTTAAAAGCACAGACAAGACCCGATTTCACAGTCAACGACACATTTTTCATGGCCCTGAATTTGGTAGGGTCCCACCCACCCAGCGTCAGCAGCCTCCGGAGACATGACCCCACTCGGCTAGAGAGTCAGGCCCAAGGGGAAATGAAAATAGCACCCCCCCGCCCTGCGCCCGGCGCTGCAGCTCGGACTCACCCCGCGGATGTCCCAGTACCCGAGAACCACCGGCATGCTGCGCTGCTTTTCCTGCTGCTTTACGCGACTGCTCCAGCGGCTGCGTCTGTTGGGGAGTCGGGATTGGAATGAGGCGGCTGCTTTATAACCTGCCCGGCAAGGGGCGCGGCTGCCGAGCACAACCCAATGGGGAGGGGGGTGTTAAAGGGGCCGCGCCGCCCACACCCGTAGTCCCTCTCTGCTACTCTCCACTACTGCCCTGGGGTTCTTTGCAGTTGCACAAATCCAGACTACTTCTCCCTAAACCTGCTCCCAGCACATACAAGCACTGCATTACTTGCTCTCTCAGCTGTGAGCAACCCTGCAGCAGCTCAGTGCTTTGGGACCAAGCTTCCAGACAGCTCAGCTCTGCTGTAGGCACCTAAATGGAGGGGCCAGACTGAGTTCTCTTGGGGATCTGGCCCTCTGTGTCAGGATGCAGCACACTTACAAACCCGTTTGGGTGCATTCAGCTTCCTCTCCCCTCTCCCCTCTACTTGGCTGAGCTGTCCTGTCGGAGGGGAGGATGGTGATTTAATTAGTACCTTGATTATGCATTGGATATGACATCAGGGCTTTCTCACGCTGGCCCCCAGGAACTAGCCAACTTCTTATACGTCTCTAGTCACAAAAGGGAAATCTTCCGTCCCCTCTGAAACAAGATGTTCTTTCTGCGTGTGTGATCACAAGCCGGTGTGTGTGGGGTGCTCCAGAAGAGAGCAGGTTTAAGGGGAGGGGAGAATTATCTTTCTGTTTATATTTTCATATGCACATGGGCTCAAAGGAGTGGTAGGTGCTCAATACCTCTGAAATTCAGAGCCCTTTGTCAAAGAGCCACTTGGCCATCTGAAGAGCACCAATGGAAGCAGGAACTGGCCTGCATGCTGGGATAAATGCTGAAACTCAGAAGAGGTTTAAAAGTAGAACTAAGGGTCTACTAATCAGAACTCCCTAGAGATCTATTTTTAAAAAACAAATAGAAACCAGGAAAGTCAATAAGCTGAGACGACTATACAGTCACCAAAATGTTTTCATTAGCCAGTAAGTGGGAATCGCAGCTAGCTTAGTGGGAAGGATTACAACAGGGCTTGCGGATTTCAGCTATTACTGATTTGCTGTTTAATGGGACTTTGCAAGCAAGAGGGATTCCAGGGGTCTCCGTCTCCTTCTCAGATGCTGTAGTGGGTCAATGCCAAGAGAGTTGTTTGACATTTGCTGAGCTCCACTTGAGCCTACTCCTTTTTGTTGCTCCATTGGGCAGTTCTCCAGAAAATGGGAGTCTTCATGTAGCGGCTAGAACTCATGTAGGCAGTGAGCTTCTCCAGGGCCTACAGGGAAAGCAAAAGAAGATCCATCAACGTAAAGAGACATCATCAGCTCCTCACATGCCCCCTACCCATCATCACCGCCAGAAATTCAGCATGGGCCACAGCCAAACAGCTGCTTGGGAATCGCTCCCCATTGCAAACCAGAAAGGCATGCAACCACGTCTTATCAGACATGTCTTATGGCCCAGTTCTTCTGGAGGACCAAGAGTCTGATCCAAAGTTTGCTGAAATCAGTGGGAGCCTTGACACAGACTTCAAAAGGCTTTGGATCAGGCCCCAAGGATGTGATTTTTCAAAGCTGCTGACCACTCACCGCTCCGATCGATTTCACTCAGCACTTCGGAAAGCCAGGCCCTTACGTTGCCGAGCTGCTCTAGGTTTAGGAGTAGATAAAGCACTTTCTAAAAGCAGGAAGTCCTGTAACTTCTCAAAGCTCCATCTCTCAAAAACAGTTTGTTCGGTTCCAAATTCAGTCTGCTCTTCAAAATCTCCTCTGCCCAAGAACCAAGCTTGAGAAATTCAGGACTGTAATGATGTGCACTTGCAATATATTATTCAGCTACTAGGTGACTATTAGAATTCTAATCTATTAGAATTCTTTGAAGGGGTCAACAAACATGTGAACAAGGGGGATCCAGTGGACATAGTGTACTTAGATTTCCAGAAAGTGTTTGGCAAGCTCCCTCCTCAAAAGCTCTTATGTAAATAA